TTTGTTTTTAACCTGATATTTGGTAGTCTGTGGTGTTTGTATAACATTTTTCTTGTTTTGCGGTACTTTTTTGTGAAGATAAGTCAAGAGTTGATCCGTTTAGAAGTGTTTCATTGAGATGTTTACCTGAAGATAAAAGGGAATGGAGGCAAATTAGTCTTAGGTGTATGCATCCAACAGAAGCTGAGCCCTGCGTTTGTAATGTAAATGATGAAAATGAAATTACAAAAATACTCTGCATGACAAGTTAAGCTTTCTGCAGTTCAAAGAAAATGATAAGTTAAGCTTTCTGAGAACAAAAGTTTTGGTTTGTAAAGGTCATTTCATCTGCTCGTTCTTGTAACTGAAAGCATAGTTGTGTTATCTGAAGAACGAGCATATGGTCTACAAAAACTTGCCATTGTCAATTCGATGACTGCAATGGTTTTCTATATCATTTATGATGCAAACAAATGTAGTAGATTTCAATATCATTTTGTACGGTTGCATGCAAAGACATTGCAAGACTGATGCTTATCCAAAACATTTGAAGATGAGGTGTCCCATAAGACTTGTGGTTCTAATGAGGATGAATTAATAGGTCTCGATATTGTGTACAAGACATGAACCACAAATGAATTCATTGGTTATCTTACTTATAAAACAGGAAAAAGACACTGGATTCTATAAATCCCTTCTCAATTGTTTGGACAGCCAAAGCATAAAACAGATTCTTTGTACATTGGGAGTTTCTTTTCTGTTCAAATTAATTCTGATTGAATTGATAAGGAAAAGAGAATCTGGTTGTCCAATCAAAAAAGAACAATTTAGTTTTTGAGAAATCTTGACCATAGAGTAAACACTTGTCTGACAATATCTAATAGTGAGTGTGAGTATTCAGATTTTGAAATGATTTGATTAGTTCAAGTATCTTTTGATGATTTTACTAGTTTCAAAATCATTAAGACTTTATGTTTTATACTGCAGGTGCTGCTATATTGTGCTGCTATGATGATTTTGATATTCCCTTTTGATATTTTCTATTTTTCTTCTCGTTACTACTTGCTAAGGACTCTTTGGCGCATAGTTCTGCCCCTGCAGGCAAGTTTGTTGTACTTAACGCCGGATCTGATTACTCTCCTAATTATGCTAATCTCTGCATCTTGCATTCTTTTTTTCAGCTTATATTCTGCAAAATTAAAAATGATGAATCTTTTTTAAATGAAAATTTAAAGAACTCAATGAACAGCTGTCTTACCTTTAGGTGTCTCTTGAACTCACTTGCTGTGATCTAAGATACATAAAAAATAGTAAATGCAAAAGTTCCTTATTTTGCCAATTATTATTATTACCTTAATATAGTTTTTGCAAATTGTTTTTTGACTGGCATAATAGGATGAAGTCATGTCTTTAATTTTATTTATAATTTGCATGCTGAATAAATTACTCCGTTTCAGCCACTGATTTGAATTTCCTCTTATGTGGGCCTTACTTTATATATCCTTATATTATGTCATCTGGTGAATACAGGCGATTTCGTTTTCCGACTTCTTCTTGGCTGATATCTTGACCTCCATGGCAAAGGTATGGTTTGATGTATTTCTTTCTAAGTCTGTTAAAGATATTAGGACTAAAATTTTGAAGTAGTTCATTTAACACATGGTAAATGTTGAGCAAGTTAACCAAATTGGTTGGCATCAAGTTACAAAATCTTGGTACAATCATGATCTCTTTTATGCTAAATTTTGAGCCTTTAAATAGAAAGACAACTTACTCCAGTTGCATGCTTGAAAAATTTTCTTCCTGAACTAACTTGATCAACTGATCAAAGTTGGTGTTGGAAACATAATGCCAGCCGATTAATACTCAAAGGAAACTTAATTAAACCAATCTTTCGGAGAGTTGATTTTCATTTGCTTAGCAAGAAGAAAAAGTTCTTGTTGAATCTATTGTAGCAGCAGTTTTTTTTTTAGCAAAGGATGTTGTGGTCATAGTTTGAAGGCGGACTTATGTATATTTTATTTTTATCATAATGTGTTAAATGAGGCCAGGAATCCTATATTTTTAAAGTGTTCAATAACTGTTTAAATAATATTTAAGGTTACTTTTCTATTCAACAATTTAAAAATATAGAAATAGGATTCAATACTAAATTATTTTCTAGCAATGTAACTACTGTTTCTTAAATATGTGTCACATGACTTGATTATTGTTAGATAATGGAAGATGTAATACCTGCTATATAAAATTGTGAAACAATAATCCATGTCTTGATGATGAAAAATCCGGGAATAATTTGTTCTTTATTTTCTGCTTTCAGTCATTTTTGAAAGTTCTAATTTGTTTATATATATATATATATGATTCTCAAACTTCATGCAGGTGTTCTCAGATTTGGAACGTTCAGTTTGTCGAATGGTCCATCGGCAGGTTAGTTAGTTGACTCCAGGAATTGGTAATGAGGCCACTATTAGTTACTGGTAATACAAAGACTGTATAGTTGTAAAACTACCTTCTCAAAAAAAATTATTGTTGGTTCAAGTAAGCTTCTTTGAAAGATTTTTTTTTTAGTTTGCCTTTTTGCTCTAGCAGAATTTACCTTTATGAAAATGTTGGTTAATGTTTTTGTCCGTAGACATGTAGCAGTAAAACAGAAATAAATTGATTGGGAACCAAATCATCAAAACTTGAGAAAAACTTTGCTTACTTGAACATCTTCCCACAATAGAAATGAGCTTAACTTCAATTCTAAAGCAGAATCAATTTGCATGGGAGAGTTGTAAGAATAAGGTTGAGAAAGTTAAGCAGGACTTCCATCTTCAATTAGTAACATCACTTTAACAGTGTTCAGATCGTTAGCTTTATGTTGGTTTTGGAGTCTTATTGAGAAAAAGTTCTTATTTAAGAAGTAAAGATACTTGTCTAGTAATTAATTACTTACAGGAATCGGAGAGAAATTCTGAGAGAAAACTTGCATGATGACTTGCATATGTTGCTTCAACATAAATATTTTGTGGAGAAAACTAGTGGTCTTATGTGTGTTTCAGACGGGCTATATTTCACTTCCATCTGTTGGGGTGCATGGATTTAAAAATTATGGTAGTTTTCATTGACACCATGCTTGCTGAGGAAGAATGTCTACCGTTATCTGCCATCAACTTACTTGACAGGGATAAAACAGATGATGCTTCTCCCTGATTCCACTGATGAGTGATTGTTTCATAGTTTTTTAGACTCAAACATCTTTATTTTAACCTAGATAAGCTTGTAGGGGCCGACCTCCAGAATTTAGAGATCTCAAATCAAGAGAGGTTCATATGGGCCAGGGAATGTTGATTCATTGACATGGAGTTCTATATGCAAAATTAGGGGAATAGAAAAATCCATTTTAAGATCCGGAAGACAACTGCTCTGCTCTGGTTTTTGTAGCTGCAGGGGACATTCGATGTGACTATTTTCCATGTCTTCACATAGATGTGACACTTCTTTGATGATATTGACTG